AATTTGGTCACAAATTATAAATTAATTAGTTACAATTATTTCTCAATCACAATAAAATGTTTCATAGGTCATAAATTATTTCACAATCACAAATCGAAAATTTTACAGGTCACAATTTTTCCATCGGTCACAAATTTATAAAATTAATAAGTCACATATTATTCATTGGTCACATATCACAAATTTTTAATATCAAAAATTATTTTAACGTTACAATTCAAAAAATTTATAGGTCACAATTTGATCATCGATTACAAATTAAAAATTGAAATGTCACAATTTATTTATAGGTCATAAATCACAAATATTATAAGTTGCAACTTATTAACTGTCACAAAGTATCAAATTATCGATCGCAAATTAACAATTTTTTAGGTCACACTTTATTTTTTTGTCACAATTTATCTTTTTCATTAGTGAAATATTGTTTATCCGTTTGAAATTAATTAATTTAATGGTCACAAACAACCAAATAATCCGTGATCACCACCAATGCTTGTGATTACCGCCTCACCACTACTACCAACAGCATGGCAACTAAAACCCCGTCGCTGAAACCATCACCACCACCTTCCGGCAACAAACCATCATCTAAAAAATACCGACATCACCACCACCACTACCCATCCACAACCACCGCACCACCACCACTAAAACCACAGAACCCCCACCACCACCCTACATCCTATAACCCAAAAAAAAATCCCCAACCCTACCCTCATCGCCGTCGCAACACAGATCTACCACAACCACAGCACAGATCCACCACATACCACCACTGAACACCACACCACCCACAGCACACAACCACAACCACCATCTCTATCTCGATTTACACCACACCCAACCACCACCTCACCACAGATCCACCACCCACCCAGCACCACACACCGCACCACCTACAGCACACCACCGCCATTGTACACTACACTGCACCGCACAAATCTACCATCACCGCACCACCCACAGCACACCACCAACACTACTACCATATCTTCTATCTCCATTTACACCACACCCAACCACCACCCCACCATAGATCCACAACCACTCCTACATCACACCACCACCAACACCATTTACACAGCCCCACAGTCGCAACAAAAAGAAAATGGAGAAGTGGAGGTGGAGGAGGAAGATAACAGTGGCAACACAGGTTCCACTTTGAGCTGCGCGACGATTGTGTGTAACTTACTGGTTGGTCGCGCAGAGACTGAGTTGGAGCAGCCTTTCTTTGTACTCGTTGGAGCGGCCAAAGGATAGGATGATCTATAAAAAATTTATTACGATCGATGAATATATTGTGACCTATAATTTTTTTGGTTTGTAATCATGAAATAATTTATGATCTATAAATTTTTTGATTTGTGACTGAAAAATAATTTGTCATCAAATTGTATAAAATTATGACCTTAATATATTTAATTAATAAAATATATTTTTATTTCATAATTAAAATTTAATAATATATGATTTTTAAAATTTTGTCTTCAATTTTGAGGTGAGTCATATTTAATCTTTTATATATGAAATTTTCTCTTGTTTTTGTTCTTTACTAAATTCAACCCCAACACTACTACTAGGATTAGGTTTCGACTATAGATGATGACATCATGAATAGCCCACTTGGGATACTGGACCTGATACAATTACATGTTAGTGATGCTAAATTGACGAGGGCATTATCTGTTTTTCTATAATTTAATTTAAACATAATATTTTCTCGTTAAATTAAGATTTTATGAACATTTACACTGAACCACTACGTTCAGTATGGATATATGTTACTTTTTTCTCGTTAATTAGTTAAATTAATTTTAAACACATTATTTCATTTGGTTAGTAAATCAATTTCATTTTTCAATAAAGGGTGACATGTTAAATTACTTCATTTAAACTATATATTTTAACATATATTACATTTTCACGAAGATGTGTTGTATTTATTTTATCTTCCTTGTAAAAAAGATTAAAATCTCTCTACACTTGGACGTGAAATTCTAATTAACATTTGACGTTAACACACTTTGCTGCAAAAGTAACAAACTTATATGGGGGCACATCCGAGTTGGTGAAACAATTGCATTTGTGGGCTCGCAACCCCAGCGTAGAGAGTTCGATTCCTGGAAGGTACACTTTGTGGAAGGCAGTGATGAA